CTGTAAAGTCTTGTATCAATCAACATGTACGTCTAGTATTATTGTTTGTTAATCAAGGGTTTATTACGAGAGGTCAAATTTAAATCGGCAACGCAACTGTATACGATCAACATGGTTAAATTAAGTTGCACACTGAAGACGAACATGCAATTGGGTGTGGCCGGCATGCATGCAACTATGCACGTCCGACGTGTGTGCAACGGGTGAAAACTATTTTTTTTGAAAGTTAGAAAACTATTTATTTAGAAGAAGAAGAAAGTTGGACATGCAATTATGCATGACCGACCAACATGGAATTGCGAGCGAGTGACATGTGTCCAATCAGGTTTGCACATGGGCAACATGTGTGCAGTCAGTGAAAATATTTTTGATTTTTTAAAACAAAGCTTTTTAATTAAAAAACAGAACATGAAAAGGCTAACAAGAGTTGCTTATCTAGCAAAATATTTTTTTAACACAAAAGTCAAGCAGAAAAAGGAAATACAAGTAAATAAAAGAAACAAGAAATGTGTTAAAACGAAAGTGAAAAAAAATCAACTACCATTGTTGTTAGGAAGAGAGACGAAAGAAGGTTAAAAAGCACAACAATCAAAAGGAACTTAGAAGAAAAATAAAGAAACAAGAAAAAAAATAAAAAAATAAGTTTAAGGTGTCCGCGGTTGACACGACATAGCCATGGTAGGCGACCGAGAGTCTCGTTGAATGTGTCAGAAGCGCCGGAAGGAGACGTGGGAGGTGGCGCTGGTGGGGCCATGATGGCAGCGAGCTCATCCGACACGGTGACGATGACCACAAGCTCCAGCTCATGACCATGTTTGGTGGTGGCAGGAGGAGGCTCGGAGGAGGCTCAGGCCAACTCCAGCGCACGACCCCAAACAGACGTCCGTTTTGGCCTGTTTTCGTCCGTTTAGGGCGGCCCATGTCCGGTTGGGTCCTCTGGGTTGTCGGTGCGCCCAGCGCGCGGCCACACCCCAAATCAAGTCCGTGGTGGACGTGATTAAAAAACGCAAAAACCTAAAATAAAATGTGGAAAAATATAAATAGACGCAAACATAAAAAGATAAACATAATTTGGGGTTTTACGGCCACAAAACGGCCCAAGTTCCACGGTCCACGACCATAATTAACATAAAAAAAACAGCGCCCGCGCCTCCTGGCGTGCCAATCGATGTCGTGCCCGTCGTCGTCTTCTCAGTGGCCATCGTTGTCTTCGTCGTCCCTGACGAGGTCGACGTAGGCCGGCGGCATCCAGAGGTGGGACGACAGTGCCTGGTACACGGGAGGTGCCTGCACCACCTCCTCCCGTGGCGACGCCTCCCGCTCCGATGACCGCGGCGGCGTGGGGGCACCAGTTCATGCCCCCCACAGCGTCGACCATCTCTGGAGCCGTGCACGACCAGCTCCACGCTTGGCCCACCAGCCCCGGGTGGAAAGCGGCGATGGGCAACTCCTCGTTGACCTCCTCTTCAGCGTCCCCCATCTCCAGCTCGGGGATGGCAACGTCGCTGGCCGCAGAGAGGGCCATCATCTCCTGGAAGCCCTCCCATTGACGCTCATCGTGTGTCTTCATGGAGTCCCACGCATTGGATGAGCCGGGCCTCCTCCTCCTCCTTTGTCATGCGAGGAGGCGGTGGTGGCGACGGAGATGGTGAAGGCGACGGCGTGGGCGTAAGGCTGCGCACCCGCGTACGCCTGCACACCTGGGGAGCAGCCGCTCTGCGCTCTGGACGTGGCCGCCGCGGCCTCGACGACGTGTCGACGAAGAAGGAGGCGCGCCGCACATCGTGCTAGTCCGTTAACCAGGTGTCCCAGAGCTCGGAGTCGGGAGCAAACCTGGGGTCATAGAAGAGGTCGTCGGGGAGGAGGCGGCGGCGGCGCTCGATCTCCTGGCGCCGGGCACGGCCGCTCGTCGTGACCGGCGGGATAAGCACCTGGGCGGCAGATAGATGCCAGTTATTGGGGAGGTGCGCGTCGCTCCAGGGGAGCGGCGTCCTCGTCTCCCAATAACGCCAGCATACATCCACACCAATGTAGTGTCGGCCGCCCTCGTCGGCGGGCCTGGGCGCGACGGAGAATGCGGGCGGCGCGGGGGCCCGATGCGGTGGTGATGCGGGCTCCTCTTTCACGACACGACCACAACGGCCTGACAACGAGCCAGCCTCGCGATCGTGCTTCCCCTTGGGCCGGTGTTCCAGAACCCCATGGCTGCGAGGCGGCCGGCTGGCGAGATCGAGGACGGGGAGAGGGGGAGCTAGGCTAGGGTTTCAGCCGTGTCGGGTTTCAAGGATGCAGCATGGGCTGGAGTGGGGAGTGTGGACGGCGACCGGTCCACGGCTTTCCATTTAAGAAGGACGGCGACTGTTCGCTGGGCGGATGACATGTGGGGCTGACCGCGCATGTGCATTATTGCCGGGCGGTGGGAGGTAGGTGGCCGCCTGCCACGCGGCCCCGGACGCGGACGAGCGAGGTGTCCATTTACTGTCCGCCGCGATCCAAATCCCGCGCATGTTTGCGCACGAAATGGGACGGCCTGGACACAAAACGGACCAGATAGGTCCAGGCCGTCGCGCGCTGGGCCGTCTGGTTTGTCCGTTTTGCTCCAAATGAACGGGGCCGGGCGGGATGGGGTCACGCGCTGGAGTTGGCCTAAGGCGGCAACATAGTCGGCAATAGGCAGGCACATGTGCGGCAAGGGCGTCGTGACCGGAAAGGTCCGCAGCAACGACTTTGATAGTGGCGCTAGGTGATCTTTTGGAAAGAAATTTTCTTCCATCATTGTGTTAGGGAGAGGATACGAATGGAGCAAATTCTGCTAAAACATATGCACATGCTAAAGTTTGCTCTTTCCTAATTTAAACTCAACTCTTCAAATTTTATGGAATTGAGTTTTAAAAAAAAAAACTTAGCTAGATGTTTTTATCACTTTTGAGGGTTCTGAAGCAGACTGATGTTCATGACCATTATAGTAAGGGTAATCCGCTAAATAGTTTAGTGGGCCATGATGATGGCATGCTACTTAGTTGCTGGTTGGATGTACTACATCCACCTAGATCATCCCAGATGTTCACATTTCATGCAAAATGATCAGTACAAGTCCAGATGAGGTGATCTTTTCTTTTTTTAAACTGAAAAAGTATATATTTGTTGTTCATGGGGTAACGTTCGTTCTCCTTGAACTCAGCCTCAGGTTTGTGAAGGATGCTAGAATGTACTCCCTCCGTCCTGTAATGTAAGACGTTTAGTGTCAAAAAACGTCTTACATTATGGGACGGAGGGAGTAGAAGTGATGGCTAGGACAATGAGGATGTTAGTGGATTTCATGAACGCATTACTAGGAACTTTGGCAAGTGAGTCTATGCTATTATGCATATAATCTCGAGCAAGAGGCTGGACCGGTCAAAGTGTAGCATGGGGAATTTTGAGCCCCCATCACACAAGAATGTCGGCATTCTCTGAGCATATATTTGTGACCGTGATCTTTGGTACAAATGCTACCATATTATTGTGCCTTTTAACTGTCGCTTTAGTTGGGCAAAGGAAGACTCACTGAAGAAAAATCCGTCAAAGGCGATATTTTTCAGAACTGAATCGTATCATCCGGGTGTTTGGAAAAACAAGATTTTGTGCAAATATTTTGCACAACCTGTTGGCGCAGGAATAAATTCCGCTAAACGTTTCACAGCAAATTCATTTGTTTAATCTAGGATTTGATTCGACATGGTACATCCCTTCTCCTGTCTTCGCTGGGACACAAGTTGGCCGCAATCTTTCGACAAATGCGGTCGTTTTGCTGACGCTGTCACAACTCACAGGTCCAGATCCATCACTTGCTAAATGTACCAGCCGCGAAATGATGTCAGCGGAACAAAAGACAGCCAACTATGATCGAATGCAGCCGACAACGCCTAGAGTTCTAGAAAGTACATTGCACAAATCTTAAAGCACCGCTGTTAAGAGATGTTCTTCTCAAACCATGGCTGATTTCTGTTAGAGAAACCGTCATTGTTTTACAGAAACACTAACGTCCACACGTGTGGGCATTCCCCGACTCGCCCACACGTCTGGACCGTCGCTCACTGTCTTCTGCACGAATCTTGACACGAAAAAGTGGATTTGGTGTGCCACGTAGGACGGGGCTGGTGCATGGGCATTGAAGAGTTTGCCCACACGCCCGCATCATGCTGTTTGCCAGTTGCGCTGTATGGGCGAACTAGTTTCCGCCCACACAGCCACCACCTAGTTCATGCGCATGTGGGCGAACTGCTTTTCGCCCACACGACACTCCTACGTTGTGGATGCAACTGCAGT